GTGTCAGAATCTAAGCGCTGGCACACAACAAAATATGTACTTTAATCTGGTAAGCTACTTACTAAATTACTTACTTTGGAAAATATGTTATGGGCTGCCAATTTTTTTTTATACTAAAAGATACATTTGCTTATGGCTTTATTTGGAAAACGTAACAGATATAATTGGTAACTTGGTGAAAATATGAACTACAGACTTTACGAAAAGCATTAAGTAGTAGTTAATGTAGTCTCATTTATGTTGTCGAAATAAGACAAGACACATTTGAGACTTTAAAAAGTAGATTCATTGCGATATTCAGTAGCTTAAAAATTTCAGAAAAGAATTCTTGCGCAAAATAATTTACAATATTGGTTCCTAAATCCTATTCCGATTTTTTATCAAAAAATATTTATGCTTCTCTTGTGACATTTTTTCCAGTACTTATCCTGAACACTTCACTTTCGAGCTGCTGTGGTGGCTCTTTAACAAGAATTTATTGTTGCTACCTTAACATAATCATCAATTTTATGGATTAACACCGACACTATATCAACAAAAAATTCATTTAATTGTAGATACAATTTCAGTTTCATTTTTGAAGGCAGAAAATTAAACCAAACATCAAAACCACAAAACCGCCTCAAATCTATGCACACGATCTCAGCAGCCTAGTAAAACCCGACATTGAGAAGGAAAGTACCATAACTATGCTCTGATTTTTTCCTGGAATTTTAATTGAGTTGTCCGCATGTCACTTGATGTTGGTGCGTGATATACAACAAATCCCAAAGATAAAACAAGTCGTTGAGCCTGATTTGACTTTGTATCGATGCCGACTAGAGTAGACGCTTCCCAAAATTATCAAAATAGACTAACTGAAACAAAAGATATAAATTTATTTTACATTTTAGGTTTTTTTTTATTTTTTTCACACAGACAGGCATTAAAGTAAGTATTAATGTCCTGTTGTTATCCTTTTGCTCTTATGTCACCAGTTTTTTTTTTCTGTCTCTTCTTTTATGAGTCTTTATTTGGCTTGTCAAATAGTTATGCCAAGTGCAGAAATCTATTATTACTATCTGATGATGTTTTAATTGTCTCTGTATTCGGTAACAACAACGCTTTTGCTCAGCACAGCATTGGAATTGGAATCATACTGGCACCCATTTCGGAGCGAATTGAAGATTTCCTACTGTTTTGCCATTTTGCTTATCTTTTGGCAAATGATTAGTAGGAAATTTGTTGAGACTTTCATCCATGTATGCATCCATGTTGTATGACATTTATTCTTTGTATTACTACACTGTCTCTATACAAGTTTATGGAAATAAGAGTAAATTTCATAAAATTGGTACCAGACACGTACATCACTGGTTTATTTCAAGCTGCGCCAGTACTTTTTTACTTGCCGATATTTGAGGATACAGAATTTATTTGAATACTTTTATATATTTTAAATTATGATATGTAATTAAGAATTACTGAAGACCTCATTGATGTACTCGTTTTTTAGAGAGAAGAAAATGATGTATTTTGATACGGGTTAGTTTTTGAAAAAAAACAAAAAACCGTTTTGTACTCAAACCACAATGGTTGCAATTCTAAGAAGAAACTAGGAAATAAGATTTGGAAAAATTATTTTTAAAATGGATATCTGTGAATGGATAAATCCATAAATAATATCATTTTTGAAAACGACTTGTGTAAATTGGTCATGAAATATATACACTTTATAAAATTTTTACTGATACTAGAAAACAGGGTTTTGGGCTCCTAGTGCAGCGGAGCACTTAACTCGACGAAGAATAATGGATCTTTATAAAACAGCAAACAGTTTTTGAATTTTCCTTTAAATGAATAGGAACTCCTACTCAGCATTCTCAATCTGATTTAGAATGAATTGACTTCAAGAATATGGCTAAAGTCCTAGTAATAACTACAAAAATTATTTTCAACAATAATAAAAATCAAAACAATAATTAAATATAAGGAATTAAAATAGTAAGCAATAATTAAAATAGAAAGCCATACATAGGGATGATCATACTTGGTACATTCGAAAGTGCCGCAATGTAGCACTTTTGTATAATTTAGTGGAAAAAGTTTATAAGTGCAGGAATGTGATACATCTAGACTGATTCCTAAGAATTATTTTTAATATAATCATGGTTTTATATGATGGTTTTTCACTTTTTTCTTGCTTTGTTTTTAGTTACAAGAAATTAGAAATTTGCAAAAATTTCAGAGTCCTTTAATAGATATATAAGTTATGTCAAGAGTTGTGTAAGAAGTAACAATAAAAATATTTTATGGATTGTGTGATGAACTAAACATCAATTTTTTACTATCTACATCAGTTTGCAGGTTCAAGGTTTTAATCGTTGTGTAAGCAGACCTATGAATAATGTGTAAAATTCATTAAATAGATATATTTTTCTATGGACTCTGGAATATTTAATTTATCTACATACACCACCAAATTAATCTTATTGAAATTTTATACATTAATTTCGCATTAATTAAATTTTGAGAATGCATAAGAGCATACGTCACAGTGGATACATCTGGAATTATCTTCCCTGGATGAGTTTAAAAAGCAACTTATATCAATTGGCTATAAATTTAAATAAACATAAAACAAACTCAAATATTTCTAACTGAACCGAACCACATTGTAACCAAAACAGCCGCAATGGGACATTCAAAGTTGGGCCATGAAAAGTGGTGAGATTTTCAAAAAAAAGGGTGGTCAAGACATTCAAATACTTGTACGTTTAATAAAAAAGTTCTGGAAGTAAAAAGGCAATACGGTATACTTATAATTACAAAAGAAACGTGCAGTGTAGTTGTCCTTTACAAACGGATCACATGAAAAATAAAAATACGTAGAACAAAAAAAAAAAAATAAAATGAAATACAATAAAAAATAACGAAAATGTCCAACAAAATTTGATTTTTATCGCAATTCATTTGAATTTTATTGCGTACGAAATTTCCAACATTCGACACAATTCAACCCAAAATTCAAAAACCCAAAACTATTAAATGGCAACTACAGCAGCCATTTTACGGACATCCTTCCGCCACATTGAAACACACTTGCCAAGTGCGCATCAACCTAAACAGCGCTCGTCCTTCGGTTGCCTTTTGGATTGAGCTTGTTAACGACTTGGGGTGCTGTTACGGCTGTGGTGCACGTTTCTTGGCCACGTTGGCGTCATTTTCTGAGCAATAAAATAAACATTCAGGAATGATGAAATCAAGCTAAACGATTCTAGCTTTTGTTTGTTCTTTTTTGACCATTGGATTTTGTTTTATTCAAGTTTTACTGTAGCTCACATAATTTCATTTTTGTTGGGAATTGAGAAGAAAATAAATAGGAAAACTCCAGGGTCTATAAACGGGACTACATCGAAGGTAATCGATGTGTTTTTTTTTCTCCATGAATGGCATTGTTCAATAACGCATTGCATTTTTGAAAGGGGTTTTGAAGTTAAGGAAAAGGAATTTATTTATATTTAAATTTTAATTAAAGTAAATGAAATAAAATGTTGATAAAATGAATAAAATATTAATTAAATATTTACTTATACATTAACATAAAATAAAACCCAACAAGTGAATTTGTTAATAAAAATTTCATAGCAAATTAACAAAAACTCCAGAAAAATGTGCGAACACAAAAGTCAAGTACGGTTTTGGGTCACTTGGTTAAGGAGCGCTGACTCTGAGCTTCAAATTTGACAGGGTACGAGTTGGATTCCTGGTACTTGCAGTCTCAAAAAATTATTCATGAATAATTAAATACAAAAATTATTTCCAAGACCACTGATGATGGGTATTTGCCAATACTCGAAACAGCTGTATGTTCAACCAAAAATTCAATTAATTAAAATAATATAAAAATAATTTTTGTTGTTGTAGCTAACTACTGTTTGAAAATCTTTTTAAAAAATATTCAGCAAAATTTTATATAAAATCCGTTATTAAAGTAGCAATAGATTGCTTCTGGAGTTCAGTGAGCAATTCAATAGGAATTGTCCATTCGCTTAGTGCTAACCGAAGAGTGACCACAGAGAAATTTTTTTAGAGAGGAGAAATCGTTATGTTATGTCACCATTGTTGAGATGGCAACACAACTAATCTACTACTAACCCCCGGTTTTATTCCATTTTTATATATGTAGTTCTATGTATGTCTATATGTAGTTGGAGTATTAATCAGGCACCTCAGACATAAACTTTTTTATCTTATGAAGATAAATAAATCTTCATAAATAAATAAATTGGGAACACATAAATTTATAAAAAAAAACGTCATAGATTTTTTATTTATTTTTAATTTTGTACAAAAAGAGTTAAGAATTTTCTTGCATCAAAAATATGGTTTACTGGATTGAATGAAAGTACTCTGTTATAAAATCTGAAAAGATATTATTTTGTGGTTTCTTATTTAAATAAAAGTAAAATATAGTACCATAACTTACATACCATTCATTATACAGGTATGCAATATTTATTAATGAAAGAAGCCAGGTCCATATATACTGGACCTTAATAATTTGGTAGTCTCTACTATTAATTTTTCTAGAGAACAGTTATCAACATTAAAATAGGTTTTGATAATGACTAATAATCAATTAACTTACATATCAATTTCAGCATAAATAAATCCAGAATATATTGGTAGATAATTTAGTTAAAGTCATCGTACCAATATCCTGAGAAATATATTTGTAAAAATACTTTTGATGCACATTATTATATAAACTATACGATGATTTAACTTACATGTAAGTCACAAAGTATAATTTTGGTCCATGCATCAAATAAATTTATGGAAAATTTTACGGTACACATATGTATCCAGTATGTATCCTTCAAAAAAGATAATATGGTTTAATGATATAAAGATTGTGTGTAATAAATATTGGTTGGTCAGGTTAGGTTAGGTCAGAGTGGTTGCCTTGTGAAGTAAAAGTCATTTAGTTACACATACAGGTTTGTTGTGATGCTACAGATGAGCTGCTATCCGTTCGCTAGACTCGAAGGGGACTAACTTATAGGTAAAAGTTGTGCTCAAACCTCCAGTCTCTTAACTAAACTGGAACTTTGTCCCTGCCATGCCCTCATAACTAAATAATGGTTACAAAATCATGTATACTGAATATACTAAATGTAGGTATACTGTACTGAATTGTACAATGACAAAATGCGGTCACAGTGGTGGTTATCACTGGTAATAGCATCGAAAAAATATATATATCAGTGAAATATACAATATCAGTGGTTCTCAACCTAAGAAGTTTATATGTTAAATTTTGGTTGGTTAGTCAACTTACTTGTAGTTTACAGGATATAACACATGTTAACCCTTATCTCAGCGATCAATGTGCATTATTCTATGGAATATTTATGAGTAAAATGATATAAATACTTTAATAGATTGTTCGGTTTGTTAACTTAATTATCCAGCGTTAATAGAAGTTTTTTAAAAATACATTAGTTTTTGTGGTTTTTCGGTGGTAAAAAATCTCAGGACGTAAAGTAACTTTATAAATAGTATTGGTTGATTCAGTCAGACCTAAAAGTCGATAATTTTATAATGGTATTGCTCGATAAGCTATTAATACATATTGGTACTTACAGAAAGTTCAGGAGCATTTGGTAGCTTCAGTAAATTCATTGGTACACTTTTCTAAGATATATAATGACTATAAATACTTTTAACATAATGTCACTAAATCAATGGGTTATTCGGTTAGTTAACTCATTTCTATAAATTACAGTAACAAGTTTGATTGCATCCGTCATTCCAGGTGTTGTACTTAGAGAAGGTAATTGAATATAGTTGGTTGGGTAGTAGTAGGAGCGTAGGAGGAGTAGGAGAGTGTATTAGTGTTGTTGGAAGAACCATCTAAATATGACAAAAGTGTTAAAAAAAATTTATTTAAACAAATAATTTAAATAACTTAAACTGCTATTACTGGGGTCCAAGTAGTTTGAAACTTCCCAAGAAAGTCAATTTTAATTTATATTTACCTGTGTAAGTGTAGTCTGTTATATAAAAATAAAAAAGATGTATATCGTTTAGTTAAGTCTCCTCTGTATTCTCCTCGTTCCAAGAGAAGATACGCATAAGTTGGTCCCACACTTGAAATGAAATCATCATTAAAAATCGTTGAACTTTTTTATACTTAAAGCGTTATATATATATAACTATAAGTATAGTAAGTTATACTTACTGGCGCCTAACCATGTGGTTGAGCGTTTGCTGGAGTGTTTCAGGTGCAACGGATGTATCTTTACTTTTGACTGAACACGCCGTTGTTTTCTTGGTTTCTTTTTGGCAGATATGCGACTGGTAAGGTGTTTTTTAATTCGAAGTGTATTGCTACGATTAACACGGGATTGACGTGCGATGCGTGACAAACGTCCTGAACCAGACGGTGCATATTTGAGTTTTTCCTTAGCACTCATCTTACGCCACTTAGCTCCACCACGCTTGGCTATTTCTACACTGCTGAGATGACGATTTTCAGCTCTAAACTTCTGTAGAAATTTTAAAAATGGGTTGGTGGTTGGCATGACTTTAAAACTAAAAAAAAAAGGATAATGATGTTAATATAATATATATTAAGTGAAATCTATATAATTTGATATATGTTAATTTCTTTACTAAATATTCAATTAATCTTATTTTACTGTCCAGACCTCTATATGCAAGACTAGACTTGCAAGATTGAGGTAGAATGTAAAATTTTTAGTTCTGTGAATGCCATTATTATAATATCATTAATGAATAATTTCCTAGTGATGATTATTATTATAACTGATTTAAGCTTAGCACAGTAATGCGTTTATCACAAACGCACTAGGACTCAACAATTTATTGTCCTTAGATAGGATGCTAAGGATGCATTATGTATTGGTTTCTGGCAAATGTGTAATAAATAAATATAGCACATGCAATAAAATTGATAACTTCATCTGCTACTTAAGTTCCAATTATTCACTCTAAATTAAAAATACAAAAATTACTTTTCGTATTTGAAGAACAACTGAAACTGCCAAATGCATCCGCAATATAAATCAAAATATCCACAAAAAAGATCCTTGATGAAATGTTTCAAAATGCAGTTCCTGGCCATATGTGCATAAAATTTTTGTCCATCTCGATACAGTAGCGTACAGTATGCAATTCGTAAATTTTTTATTTATTTTTATTGTCAGCAGAAACGATAACATTCCTTTTGTAATTCGTTGTCATTTGGCTGTAATGAATGTCTTCCATAACTCATTGAAATCTCAAGAAACATCCTTCCAAATGAGTACTGAAGCGACCGTTGATGCTCTGAAGCAAACAATATTTTTATTATTAAATGGGCGATGGCTTCATTGTTGTCGGCATAATATCAGGCAATTGTGTGTATTTGGCCAAGAAAATTGCCACTTCGTTTGTAATTGTTCCAATAGAGCATGGACACCAGCAGCGTGTGTGTGGTTCCAGTAAATTTCGGCTAACGCTGGCAATAATGCTGCAGTAACCCCAAGATATAATAATGGGCAATGATGTCATTGTAGTGTCTTTATATGTTTGCAGAGACAATTAAATGTGTGCTTATTGTCATTTCCTGTTCCTGCTTTGTTTAGATAGAGCCATAGTTTTCAGTTAGACATTCTATGTGCTATGAAATATTTTAGGGCACTATGTCCAATACAAAAAATATTTATAAACAATAATAAAATACACATACGATTATTTTGGTTGGCCACTTAAACCAAGTATTTGGAAAAAAATTCAATTGATTTCAGCTATTCTTTTTTTAAGACAAACATAAAAACTTTTAACAACGTTTCAAAGGAGAGAATACCCAGGAAAATCATTTCAGTATTGTTTGTTCTTATGGGAGGTCCTTTTTTATGTTGCACATAAAAAGTCCAGCTTTTACAATATCCATTAAATTGGTCAATAAGGCAAAAACAGTAACGTTTACTTATTTTCCAAATCACATTTTCTGTTTAAGATTCTGGCAGTGGTCAGAAGTGTTCCTGGTTGGTTCCATTAAGTTTTACGGCTTTGGAAACGTTTATTTAGCTTCTCTTGACTAAACGTTTGCTTTAACGATCATGGTTATGGGTTTCTCAAATTTTATTACCTTAAGGAAACATTTTTGCAAATGATTTGCTCTAAAGAAATTTTCACAATCATTAGAATTTACCGATTAGAATTTATTGAACGTTTTCGGATTGATTGGGGAAGAGAAGAGTTTTTAAGATTCTGGAGTACATAAATGTTAAAATTGAATTGATAATGTGATTTATTTATACATAAAAAAAAATTTAGTAAAGCAAAAATTATATTTGCAATATATTAAATATAGCTATGCACTTTTATTAGTAGGTAAAACAGTAGAAAAATGTACTTATAAGCTTGAAAAAGATAAAATTGAACTAAGCAGCGGTGTTTAAAACCAAAAAATACTGATCTCTATATGTGCACTTCACAAGAACAGAAAAAATAACATTACTTATTAATTGTAAACTGCTTGGATATTTGGATATGAGTTGGATGACGCTAGATATAAAATTAAGTTGGAAGGGACATATGAGCAGCTGGTGACTAAGCGATGAAATCATTTCGCCATTGTCGTAAGTTTCGTGATGCAATAAAAATTTACATCAACTTGTAGTGATAACACTAAGCGACCTTCCAATGTCATTATCGTTCATTTGTTCCAAATTGCAATATAACTCATTTTCACGGGTCAAATTCACGTAAGCAAACTAAGGCTTACTAATGAATAAGAATCGGATATACCTTTGTGTTCCCAAAAAGAGCCACTCACAGGCAGCCCTCAAGAGCCCTGCTGTTACTGTGGTGATCCACATTTTCACTTTACACCTTTGATAATGCTTTGACTATACTTTAGTTAAAAGAAAAATAGTTTTGAGATTATGTGGTATTGTGGCGTTGGTGTAGTGAGTACATATTTGCGTATCAGCTCATAGGGTTGGGTTCTTGTAACCTAATCGTAATCTTCTTTGTAAATGAATGTAGTCAGTAGGGTCAGAAATCCTTCAATGTACCTAAATTTTTGTTATTAAATTTCTATGAGAAAACGACTGTTAATATCAAATCCATAAAAATTTTTTATCCGAAATTCCACGTATTGCATAAGTTTTGTAAATTCTTTTCCAAACCACCTTTATCGTAACTCCTATAAATTATACCGATTTTAGTCTTAAAAATCTATATTAATTTGTTGATTAATATATTTGATTGATTTCTCGTCTGTCCATAGACATTGTTTTATTATTAATACACATCAAAATACTCAACTCTCTGCAGAAATTTACATTTCTACCACGAACCCAATGGGTTCCACAACAATGAAATCTACATTCCCTCCGTCTGCGTTGTACGTTACGTCTTCCAAATACCATCGCAAACTTTCCACCGTTCCTATCAAATAAATTTATTAAAGGACTGAACCTGGAATCCGACGACCGAAACCTCCTCGACGAGTCAATAAGGAACTTCGTTCCTTATAAATTGCAACTGGGTGATATTAGCATGGATTTTTTGGAATCCGATAGCAGTTTTCGACTGGGTTTTCACTAACTACAGACTTTGCAATGCGGTATGCCATTTCTATTTTAGCTCTGGTCATTAGGAACTTCATTCCTTATAAATTGCAACTGGGTGATATTACCATGTCTGTTAGTCTAAGAAAATGATTTCGGATATGTAAGATATTTGGACTTTACTTTGTTGTTGCAAAAACTTCCTATCCATAACAAATTTATTGTTTTAATGTGAAGGAATAATTTCTAAGAATTTTTAATAAAATCCTAAAAAGACATTAGAGAAAAATTAACTTTTAGCCAAAACTCAATATAAAATCGACGAAAAAAGACACCACATGCCGCAACTATAATGAAACTGTTGACTCCTGCAATCTGTCATCACGAAATTGCAAATTATCCTTTTCCTGCCAATTGCCAGTAATAACAACGGGGTGAAGGCCAATTATAATATATTTTTGCAATTTAGAAGTCAACTAAGTAATGAAAGGATAATATTAATAAATATCTGCAATATTAACTGGAAAACGCACAGAGTGTGATGGCTAAAAAATGCGTTTTCTATAGAAAAATTGCTCATAAAAAATAAAAGGATTCGCTAGGGTTAGTTTAGGGTTATTTCGCAAGGGTTTTTGTGTCGCAAAAAGTATTATAAAAATAGTAATTGAATGCAATATTGCAATATTGTGCATTGAATGCAGTAAAAAAAAATAGGTTGCTACCTGTCAAAAAAATGTTTATTTTTTCTAAAATGAATTGAACATATTATCAGCATTTACAATAAATGAAGCTGTATC